CTTGGTAAGGTGGAGGGTCGACCAAAGGGGAGAAGGCCCTCAATGAGATGGACTGACATAATGGCTGCGACGATGGGCTCAAGTATAGCAAGGATCATGGAGCTGGCACGGAATTGGGTGGTGTTTTGTTCTGCTGTGCATGGGGTTGCTATGATCCGGACATGACTCGACAGCACCTAACAACAACTTCCCCAGGGGTGGGCGTCAGGGGAATCAAGATGAACAGCCCAATGATGATTCATTCCTATGAGGCAGAGGTCAGACACACTTCCTTTCTGAAACCTTTTTACCAGTTTTGACAGCCATCCCTCCCACAGCACTCTGCTTCTCTGTTGGGTTCGATGATTCGTTGCAATGGCCACACAGAACTCACAGATAATATGGTTACAGAATTTACTAGGGAAGTGACAGGTTACACTTCAGGATCAGAAATGACTCAGGCTACAGTTCTTCTATGAGGACAACCGGTTCTCAGCTGTGCCCACAAGCAGGCCTCTCTCTGGCCCTCAGCCCCTCGGTCTGGCATCTTCACCACTTGGATAGTGTTACAAAGCACCCCACTCTGCCAGTAAGCCTCAGCTCGAAGTCCCTCACCTCTCTAGCTCCATGCACTGGTGAGCCTAGGTACAGCAAGTACATGGAGGTATCCCACTCTGCCAGCAAACCTTCCGCCTGGAGGCACTCAGCTTTCTCCCTCCATGGGCCAGGAAGCTTTGAACTGCCAACTTTTCAATTAGTAGCCAGTTGCTTAAATCATTCCACCACCAGGGCTCCTTGTGAAATGCAAACAGAAGGTGTAATTTAGCCAAGAGTAGTATGCCAATGTTAATTTCTTAGTTTGGCAAGTCCACCATGGTTATTGCGTATTGTTGTTGTTGTCAGGGGCTGTTGAGTTGGTTCTGGCTCATAGCAACCCTGTGTGCAAGAGGCACTACCCGCTTCTGCACCATCCTCACCGTTGTTGCTGTTTGAACCCATTGTTGCAGCTACTGTGTTAATCATCTTGTTGGGGACCTTCTTCTTTTTTGATGACCCTCAACTTTACGAAGCATGATGTCCTTCTCCCAGGCATGATGTCCGTCCTGATCACATGTCCACAGTATGTGAGACAGTTTCACCATCTTCACATCTAAGGAGCTTTCTGGCTGTATTTCTTCCAACACACTCTTCTGGCAGTCAACACTATAGTCAATATTCTTCACCAACACCAATAATTCAAAGGCATCAATTCTTCTCTGGTCTTCTTTATTCATTGTCCAGCTTTTGCATGCATATGAGGTGACTGAAAATACCATGACTTGGGTCACCTTAGTCCTCAAAGTGACATCAATGAGCCTAGCCCTATCCAGTTCCCAGTTTCCAAATACCACTCTCCTATGAAAGAAACCAGTGGTCCATTGAGGGATGACCGATTACAGGGCTGCAACAGGAAAAAAACAAGGTGGGCCTGGAGCATCCTGAAGTGACAGAAGGTAAACAATTACTTCAAAAACAAAAGAATGGAAGCAGGTCACAGGGACACAGGAACTGACTGCAATGGTTCCCAAGGGCGAAAGCTGGAATTATTTGAGCAACAGAATAAATAATTATGCTACAGATTATAATCCAAAGTAGAAGATAAATATGCATGATCTGTACTAACATTAAGAATATATTGAATGGTATGAGTTGAACTTTTACCTAAGGAAGATACACTCCTTGGAGAGAACAATCATGGGAGAAAGAAGGTGTGTTTATGCATCGGGACATAGCTCAGGGGGCAGAAGTGCATGGAGGGATGGACACAAGGAAGAGGTAACTATGGGGAAGAAGTGGGAGTGGAGCTGTTGCATTGTGGGAAATTGTAGTCAATGTCATGAGACAAAGTGTATGTGAACTCCTGTCTGGAAAGTGAATTTGCTCTGTAAACTTTCATCCAAATCACAATTTAAAAAAAAAAAAAAAGTATATATCGAATGACTAAGGAGATAAATGGAAGGAAAGACAAATCTTCCTTACAGAAAATTCTAAATGGTGGCAAAAAGCTATTGACCTTAATACTTTTGGATTCTCAGTTCTGTTCCTGGAAATTCACTGCCTTTTATCGGCCTTACCTATCTGTTCCCAGCCCAACTATAACCTAGGCTCATCCCATCTGCTCTATCCCCATCTGTGTTGGCCACTCTAATACTGTACTCAAAACAAAAGCAACAAAAAAAAAACCTCATTGCTGTCGAGTAGATTGGACTCACAGTAACGCCTCCTTGAGTTTCCGAGGCAGTATCTCTATGGAAGTTGATCGGCCAATCTTCTTTCCAAGGCGTGGTTGGTGGGTTTGAACTGCCAGCCTTCTGGTTAGCAGTCAAATGCCTTAGGCACTATGCCACTTCTCCAGACTTTTTTCTGTCTTTAAAAAGTGCTTCCTGCAAGTTGTTATGCTTCAGAAGCTTTCCTTGGCTGTCCACTTACCTGCTTTTTTAGGGGGTCTTTTCCCTTTCCAGGAGCAAGGTCCTTAGCCTCTGTCACCAAGAGCCAATAATCACAACAGGTTGAAACAGGAAGGCAAAAGGTTTATCGAGTATACCCACGGAGACAGAATTACTTGTCTAAAATGTGTGTCTCCCGCAGCAGAGGGGTTAACATGATTCTATAGGGAGATGGAAAGGGAACTGAAGTTTTTGGGCCGCCGGAAATCTCGTCCCTGGTTAGTCCCGACTCAGCGTCCCTCTTCCCAGGGTCCTCTTGCTTCATAGGCTACGGTTCTCAGCCAAAACCAGTCATAGGAGGTTATGCTTATAAGACTACATGACTGAAAACAACAATCTAAAGAACTCAGCCTCTGTAAAGGGTTGGCTATTCTATTTACTTAAAAGAAAGCAAAAGGGAGGGGAAAATAGCAAGTTAGTCACTATGATTAATGTCAATTGTCATCTTGTCTGCTAGTCTGTGAGAGTTCTGCTATTTTCAGTGAGGGGCCCCTTTGGGCTACCGGACAGTTTTCGTGACTTTGGCTTCCAGGTTGCCGTGGCTACTAGCGCAAAAGAACGGTGACGTTGCTTCTGTACGGCAGGTATTCAAATATGGCTGCTTCCGGAGAGACATAACAATATGGGCGCAGACATATTACCTCATAAAGCAATTCCGGAAATGCCGTTGTCCACAGTCCTTCCAAGGTTCCAGATCTTCGCCGGCCGCCGTAGGCGGGCGAGGATTCCGGGCCAGGGGTCGACGAATACAGCAGCCGTTTAACGGAAATAAGTGCACTGTTTGGGAACTTGGGGTTCAGGAGAAAAACAGGTCGGTATGTGTTTTCTGCTTGGAACGGGGTGAGGGAGGTGCGTGGACGTGGTGTCGTGGGGACCCGTGGGGTTCCTGAGGGGAGCCCCGGGGTGGCGGTGTCGGCGGCGAGCAGGTGGAGTCCGGGGACTTTGGAGTGTGGAAACTCAGGAACACCGAGTTCTCTAAACGCGATATCGGAAGTGGGTAGTTTCCTGGGCGACTGGCGCAAAGCTCGCTGTTGGGGAGCGAAGGACGGCGTCTCGAAGAGCGAAGGAAACGCTAGCGGAAGTTTGAGGGATTGGTTAAGGGCGAAGCCTTGGTTTTTGGCGGAGCGGTAATTCGTTAGTTACTCACTGTGAGGTATTTATTGGGGTCATTATGCTTGGCTGGCTTCGGTCGACCGGGTCAGAGACCCTTTTAACCGTCGAACAGATACAAACTAGTCTCTTAGGTTCCAAAGTAGTGCGTTTCCGTGTTGCGCAGGCGGTTTGCGGTGGGCGGTTGGAACTCAGCCGGCAGCTCCGGGGAAGAAAGGGCCTGGCCTTGTAGTTCTGTGAAGTTGTGTGTGGGCAGCGGAGTGGAGTCCCACTGCGAGTTGAGCCGCGTAATGGAGCGGAGCTGCCTCACAGCGTTTTCTTGGCTGTGGTACTTAGGACGGCAGAGCCCCAGTCTTTTTCCCCGCGGAGCCGCTGGGTGGGTGCCAACAGTTGACCCTTCGGTTAGCAGCCGATCATTTAACCTTTGAGCCACCAGAATTCCTCATAGATTATAGCCGAGAAAACTTTATGGAGCGCAGTTCCACCGTGCCTCGCATGGGGGCGCCATGACTGGCGGCGAACAGCAACCACAACAGCGTCTTCTCTTGAGAGGGGTCTGGCTGGACACAAGTCCCCGGGCGTCATTTGCGGGCAGCCCTGGGAAATGTCCCCTTTGACCGTGAGAGTAGCTGAAATTCATGGCTTTTAGAGGCCCATTTAATAGGTGTGAGACATAGGGGGAGCGCCTTTGTACACGGATGAAGGGTACCCCAACTGTCAGGAGAGGAGGTCTTTCAGATCACTCTGCTTGTAAGGGGTGGAGGTGGTATTTACGGGGTCTGACTGGGGTTCAGGATTTTTAGTATGAGGTTCAGCAATCGTGGTGGGGGTGGTAGGGGTGGGAATGAAAATAAATGAAATTGTGTATGACACAATGGAATACTATGCAACCCTAGAGAATAATGTAGAATCTACAAAACACCCCATAACATGGATGAACTGGAGGGCATTATACTGAATGAAATGAGTCAATCACGGAAAGATAAATATAGTATTAGTTCATTATTGTAAAAAGTCAAGGAAAGGTTTATATATGAAAGGAAACTCTCTTTGTTGGTTACCAAGGGGGGGAGGGAAGGGGAGGGGAGGGGAGGAAACATTGAAAAAAAAAACCCATTGACTCATGTCACTTTAGTTCTGTGTATTTCACTATACATAAATTATATTTCAATAAAAAGTATTTAAAGAAAAAACAGTGAAAAAATTGTGTATAGTGGGTTTTCTTTTGGTCAGAGTTCTTTTGCTAAATTTTGTTTGTAAGAATCATTCATACTGTTAGAACTTACTTTACTTTGTCACAAGAATTAGCAAATTTATTCTACAGATGGTTACATTGTAAATATGTTAGGCTTTGCAGGCCACTTCATATGATTTTTTATTTTTGTTTTATCCATTAAAAATGCTACAAAGCATTCTTCCCTTTCAAAGGACGTCTTTGCTCTATAGCATTCCATTGTTTGAAAGCATAGCAGTTTTTCGTACTATTAGTGTACATTTGGGCTGTTTGAAATTTGGGTTATGAACATGCTGTGAAAATTGTACATGTCTTGTGGTTCAGTGTGTGCATTTACTTAGGATGGAGGTCATGCCTACATGTATGTTGTTGTTAGGTGCCATTGAATCGGCTCCGACTCAGCCACCTGCGTACAACAGAATGAAACACTGCGCGGTCCTGTGCCAGCCTCACAATACTTACTGTACCTGAGCCCATCATGCAGCTACTGTGTCAGTCCATCGCATTGAGGGCCTTCCCCTTTTTCACTGACCCTCCACTTTACCAAGCATGACATCTTTCAGGGAATCATTCCCTCTGACAACATGACCAAAGTAGGTCAAACAGTCTGGCCATTCTTGCTTCCAAGGAGCATTCTGGCTGTACTTCTTCAGGACAGGATTGTTTGTTCTTCTGGCAGTCCATGGTACTTTCAGTATCCTTTGTCAACACCACAACTCAAAAGCATCAACTCTTCTTTGGTCTTCTTTCTTCATTGTCCAGCTCTCACATGCATATGAGGTGATTTGAAATACCATGGCTTGGGTCAGGCGCACTTTAGTCTTCAACGAGACATCCTTATATCTCATACTCAAATTGTCATTTCAAAGGGTATGTATAATAACATCAACCTAATTGGTTAACAGATGCTTAAGTGTTTTCTAAAGTGGTTGTACCACTTTGCAGTTCTACCAGCAGAATATTCTTTGCTGTATAGTTACTGCTTTATGTGGCCTATCTAAAATATGCTTCCATATTGTCATAATGTCATCTTATTTTCTTAAAGCTTTATTGGTTTACCTTTCTTATTGATAGTCACAGTTGACCCCGTGTTGATTTTTGTGTGTGTTGTGAGGTAGAGATCAACCTTTTTTTTTTTTCTTACACAGGTATATCTGATTGTCCAAGCACCATTTCTCATTTGTTTTTGGTTTAATTTTTTTTCTTTTTTCTTTTTCTAATAAGTGCATACCTCCCTGGTGTTACTGTTCACCTTATAGGCCTATCATTTGGCTGCAAGTTGAGTCATGGGGGTGAGTTAAGTTGCAGGCTTGAAGGATGTCTAAGGGCCATAGTTTCAGAGGGTCCACCCATCTCTATCAGACCAGTAAACTTTGTCTTTTTTAGGATTTTGAGTTTTGTTCCACATTTTTCTTTCACTCTGTTCAGGACCTCCTATTGTGATCCCTTTCAAAGTGATCAGCAGTGTTAGCCGGGCACCAGTGATTTCTTCTGGTCTCTGGATCGTGGAGGCTGGGTTCACATGGTCCATTAGTCTAAACACCATTTTTTGAAAAGACATGTTTTACCCTTAGCTCTGCAAATTCTTATCTTAGTTTTATTACCCAAGTATATAAAATTTCACCAAATAACGGGATAATCAGTAGTCTTGGGGTCCTTGTGTTAAGGTGACTGCAAAGATGAGTGACAGTATCTCTACCCACAGGGAATGAAACATTCACATTGAATCTTCCCTTCATCCTGCAGGTCCTGAATCCCCAGCAGCAAGAGAATCTCTTGAAGGAAGGAGGAAGAGCTTCCAAGACTTGGGTATTGTTGTTTCTGGGGATGGCATTTTCCGGAGGCCAAGATATCTGAACAGAAGTTTAGAGCTGGTCAGGAAGACCCAAAGACAGAGTGCCCCAGTTGTTGGCCATTTCCTGAAAACAAAAGAAAATAATGAAGACACAGGTGATTTTGCTGTGTTGTGTGTTTTCCTTTGTTCTCTAATAGGTTTGTAGAGGCCTGTAAAAGACCAGTCTGAAAAATGTGTACTTGGAAATGCAGGAGCTGGAGAGAAATAAACCTAGACTCTGATGTCACCATCAGGTAAAGCAGAATCAGGACTATAGTTCATGGATGAACCTTAAACCCCTGATGTTGGAATATAATGTGTGACAGGTGGAGCCTCTGGGTTACATTAGTTGTCAACATGCATTTAATGTCTGTCACCAACAAACAAGAAAATCATTATAATTTATATGATAAGCTCAGATTTAAGGAGAAAAATGGGTGAGTTTCTTGGGGGGTTTCAGTATTTCATGGGACTTTTGTCTGTGTAAGTTTTCTTTGATGGTTCTTCCTAGAGGTAATGTGGTAGACTGTGTCCTAAATAACATTAGTCTCATAAGTACAAAGGGAGGTTTCCTTTGGCTGTTTCTTCCAGGGTTCCTCATAGACCCCTGTAGGAATAGATGAGGAAAACTCAGTGGATGCAGGGGACAAACTCAAGTTAACCCCGCTCTGTGCTGATCTGGGTTTATCCAGGAATTAAACCTAAATGTCCTAGGAAAATGGAAGCATTGTATAACTTTCAGATGGTTCTCCATGAACCTGTGTTTGATCATAGACTTGGAAGTGTAGGGAGTTGAAGGTTGCAGTGCAGTAAATTACTTAATACGACCCTTCTAGCCACGATCTTTGTAACTCCCACACGATAATCGGTGGGACCGTGCAGGTGAGACCCCTATGGAACACCAAAAGTATTCATCAGTTTTGCCATCCTACTAGGTTTAAAATGTGCCATCCCAGAGGTGGAAAGAGTGACCTGACTGCCACCAAGAAGAAGAGATGGGACCAGAGTGTGTCCTTTGGACCTGGGGTCCTTGCTCTGGGAGCCTTCTAGATCTGGGAGAGGGAGAACTGTAACACTTGGCTGAGATGGTGAGATGCACATATATGTGTATATATACAGCACTACCTACATCTGCTGTCATAGTTTTACATGAATAGAATCATATTACAAAGACCATAGCAGCCAAATTGAGGAGACTCTTTATTGGCCTAAGATGGTATAGTTTGAGCATCTAAAGACCAATCACTATATCATTGAAAAGCATTTCCACAAATCCTAGTCCTACTGGAAAAAAATAAAGCACTTTTGTTACCAATGGGGTTTGGGAGAGAACCAGGTATTTAATCTCAAAAAATTCAAAGGGACATAATCATACATATGGTCTTTTTTGTAGGTGGTGGTTGATCCTGACTTTTAAAAAATATATTGTCCATCTCTATAATTCTGTTATTTCAAGAATGTCATATGATGTAATCATTTACTGTGTAACTTTCTGAGATAAGTAGATTAATGGGTCTCCAAGGGTTAGATGAAAGGCGAGGGTATAGAAGTACCATTGAGGATCCTTGTGATGGAACCATTTTGTTTGTTTCTTTTTTTTAATTGGGAGAAATAGGTATCACAGAAACTTTGCTGTTTCAACCTGTTTTAAGTGTACAGTTCAGTGATATCAGTCACATTCACCTTGCTGTGCATCCGTCACTGTGTTCTGTGCAGTGGTCACATGGCTTTACCTATGGGATAGCATTGCACAAGGACGTCGAGTCATCTGGTGGATCTGCATAAGGCGGATGGATTTTATCGGTGTCCGATTCCTGATTATCACACTGTACTTCAGTTATGTAAGATGGTACTATTGAGAAAACCTGGCCAAGGGTATATGTGACGTCTTAGTTTCTTAGTCCTGCTATAACAAATACCAAAAGTGGGTGACTTTAACAAAAAAATTTATTTTCTCACAGCATGGGAGGCTAAAAGTCCAAATTCAGAGTGCTGGTTCCAGGGGAAGGCTCTCTATCTGGTCTGGGGGAAAAGTCCTTGTGTCTTTAGCTTTTCTCTCTTGGTTCCTTAGTGGTCTCCCACGTGCCATCAATGCTTCTTCATTTTTGTTTGTTTCTGATGTGTCAAGTCTCTTCACTGCAGATTTTTATACCAGTCATGAAGACTTGTGTTTAACATGAATAGTGTGCTTGATTCTCCCAGATGTCACGTGCATTGTTTGTCACCGAGCAAATAGGTGACCAAATATGCAGCACATGCACGTACATTTATGTACACACACATAAACGTATATACATTTTTATACACACATCTGTGTATACATACATACACATGTACCTATACACACATGTGTATGTGAATATATATGTGAATGTGTGATGTTCCTTGCTTTCCAAGAAGATGTAATTGTTCCATATCACAACCTCTCATCTGAGGAATGGATGGGTGATTGAATGCACAATTACAGAATATTCTGTTAAGGTTTTTGCTTTTTCTACAGGGTATTTTAAAAAACAACATTGGGTGTATAGAGGCAGCCTTTGTAGAGGAAATGAGCAGGACAACTTCTTGCACATTTCATTCATCTCATGAAAAGGAAATCAATTCACTAAATAGGACTCTGTTAATACAGGAGTCTTTGGCATTTGATGATGTGGCTGTGGAGTTCACCTGGGAGGAATGGCAGCTTCTGGCCCCTGCTCAGAAGGACCTGTACCGGGATGTGATGCTGGAGAACTATAGCAACCTGGTGTCCGTGGGTGAGAATGGCTCCCCTGTGTCACTCAGGGGGCACAGTTAGTGACCTTTCTTTCCTCAGCTGTTACATGCTTTGAAGTATCTGTATGCTCTGAAGTGGTCAATCCTTAGTCTAAGCTCTGGCCCTACATGAGTGGGTATATGCTCCCTACTCCCAACAGAAAATCCTTTCCTGTGTATGTGTGGAATCATGTGGTCCCCAGTGGGATACTCTGCAGTCTTCACACACCCAGGTTCCATTTGGGTCTGAGATTCTGTGATTTCCCTTGAACAGGGTATCAAGTTAGCAAACCAGATGCACTCTCCCAGTTGGAACGAGGGGAACCACCATGGAGTTCAGAAGATGAAATGTGTAGTCAAAACTTTCCAGGTGAGTGAATGAAACCGTCAAGGGGGGAAGGCTATGGAAGTCACAGTCTCATGGGAGAAGGTGTCACTGCTGTGAAGGGAGTCCGAGGAGACGCCACAGTGCCTGCCTGTATCCCTTTCCCATGTGGAACCTCTTTTTCTTTATTGAGTTTAGGCAAAAATATATCCCTTTGCCTCTTTTGAGATCATATCTTTGTTTATTTTATCTACATCTTTAGATTTTTGTTTGTATCATTTTCTTCTTTCTAGAATTCTGAAATCTTCATATCCTACCACCTCCCTTACTTTGAAATTCCACCTTTCACAGAGTGACTGTGGAGTTCATCACAGTGTACTGAGCAGGACGCCTTCTGCCTTCATTAAGTAATACTGATTTCCTTTCCAGCCCCCCTTGGATGTTGTGCCTGACTGTAAGCTGGCCTTTCACTGTGCCTTTATCTGCTTCCTTAGCTTCTATTCTCTGTTACTCTGGGGTTCACTTTCCCTTTGTTATCTGTTCTCATAAACCTTAAGGTTTCCTTCATTCTAATGAGTGGAGTGCCTTCTGTTCCCTAGAGGAGACTGCCAGTTGACATCTCCCTTGACATCATTAACGTAGACTTTAACCAGTTGCCACTGAGTTGGCTCCAACACATGGTGACCTGTGTGTGTCAGAGGAGAACTGCGCTCCACAGAATTCTTCATTGCCTGATTTTTCAGAAGTAGAATGCCAGGCCTTTCCTGTGAAATGCATTTGTATGGACTTTAACCTTCAGCTTTTGGACAGCAGTTGAGGTTAACCATTTGTATCACCAAGGGACTGCAAATAGACTTTAATTCTATGTATTTTACTCATCTTGACAACACCAACATCCCAGTATCCATAAGGAACTAGAACCATAATCCTTCCAAGACATTTGGGTTTTAGTACTGTGCCTCTTCAATTCTAGTCATCTTGTCATTACCTTGAGTTTTACCTACGTGCAGTGCCCATTCCTCTACAATCTCTGCTGTTCCTCCTGATTTCTTAACTCATGCAGGTACAGCATGGAGAGAAAGATGGCAGACCCCATAGCCAATGCACAGCTGTTGGCTTCTAGAGACTTTATGCACCTTTGTCCAGTTGTAATATTCAACCTGAGTTAAGCCTTTGCTTCATGCTGCCTTTGGCCTCCCTGCTGTTGGCCTTTCCACTGTTAACTGGCTCAACACAGCCAATGTAGCAGTTTTGTTCAGTTCTCTTAGCTGCATTTATCGCAGCAAGTTTCTGCTGTCACCACTGGCTCTGCTGCAGGGGCGCTTCTGAGCCTTTCAGTGTCTTCAGTGTTATAGCGCTTAACCTTTTACAGCTTTTTCAAGAGCAGCCTGGCCGCCTCTCTCTCTGCTTCTTTTTTCTTCTGTTTTCTCTCTTCCTTCTGCTTCTATCTGCCTGCCTCTGGGGACCTGGCCACATACATAAGCAATTTGTCAATTTCAAGTTACGACCCTCCCACTAGGGCCACAAACTGATGAGTCCCCTCTCAGTAGGCCACAAGCACTTCATTTGCATAGTAGGCCACAGGTACTTAATTATCATAGTCTATTCACCAGTCCCTGCAATATGTATACCAATCACAGGCAGGCTGTAGTCCAGAGCCAGATAAATCACGTGTATAGCTTAGCCAGGAAATGTTGATTAACCTGGATAAAAGTAACAGACCCTCTGGGGTGGAAGATAACTCCTCAGGGCTTAGGGGAAGAATCTCTCAAGCCACTTTTCCAAAGAACCAAGGCAGAAGGCCACATAAAGGAACTCATTCTGCTGGAGTACCATAAACATCAGGATTGTGTGTATATATGCCCAGCACTAGCACCATGCCTGGTACATAGTTGTCATTCAGTTAGGATTTGTAATGGATTGAGTCTGTTCTTCCCCAGTGTGGATCAGGTGACCCTCCAATGTCTGTATTCTACTGCTTAGAGTGACTTGCTAGTATTTTACAGTCTCTGTATGTTTTGCTTGGTCTTAGAGAAGAACAGCCAAATATATATTTATTGTATCATCTAACCTTTTTTCTGTACGCACTCCTTTTACCTCGTGGGTTGTTTTATCAATGTGTCTTCAGTCAGTGTGTGAGGAACATTAAACATAGAGGTTTTTTTTTGTTTGTTTAATTGTGATTTGGGTGAAAGTTTGCAGAACAAATTCATTTTCTATACAGCAGTTCATATATACTTTCTCTCATGACATTGACTGCAATTTAGCACAGTGCAACAGCTCTCTTCCCACCTCCTCCCCATCTTTATCTCGTTCCTGTGTCCTTCCCTCCCATGCAATCCTTCCCCCTAAGCTGTCTCCCTATGCATACACAGCCCTTCTATTCTTCCATGATTGATCTCTCCAAGGAGTATATCTACCTAATGTAAATGTTCAGCTCAAATGCCTATCTTGTTTGGCTGGAGTGGGTTCAATTCCAGAACTGAAGGGCAGCTAGGGCCCATAGTCTCAGTGGTTCAGGCTCTATCAGACCAGCAAACCTGGTCCCTTTTTTTAAATGATTTTGATAAACATGGAGTTTTATTTATACTTGCATCATAGGATTGTCACTAAAAAGCCATCTCACATCTAAGCATTTTTTAAAATAGCTTTATTCCAAATCAAGATGGTGGAAGGATTGATTGTTCTCTTTTTTTCTAGAAATCCGCAAAGTTAATGGTCATCTACTGGGCCACATGCAAGATGAAAGCAAAGTGAATAGGAAGGAGCAGTGTCCTGAAGACAGTGCATTGGAAGATGCTGTTCATTGGCACAAAAGTCATTGTGCTTTAAAGCAAAATTACAGTGTGCTTGACTTACGTGGAAAAACTGTGAGATCAATTTTATCATTGATCAACCAGAGCAGAAGATGTGAAATGAAGAACTGTGCTAAGTTTAATAGAGATGAGGAAATCTTTCTCTGTGCTAACGATGAACAATATAATAATGAGTTTAAATACCATGAGAGTCAAAACTCCAACAACATGAAGTCCCAACTTGCAAAGCACCATGACACTGACAAGATAGAGAGACCACATGTATGTAGTGAATGTGGGAGAGGCTTCTCCTGGAAGTCTGTGCTCATGAATCATCAGATGATTCACACAGGAGAGAAGCCCCATAGATGCAGTCTGTGTGGGAAAGCCTTCTCTAAAAAGTACTTGCTCACTGAACATCAGAGAGCTCACGCAGTAGAAAAACCTTATGAAAGCATGGAACATGACAAAGCATTCACCATGAAATCAGAGGTGAGTATGTGTGAAAAATCTCATAAAGTAGAGAAACCCCATAGTTCTAGTCTATGTGGGAAAGTCTTTTTCCAAAAGTTCATGCTCACCAACCATCAGAAAACTCACACAGAAAAAAAACATTATGAATGCACAGAATGTGGCAAATCGTTTATCACAAAACCAGGGCTCAATATGCATCGGAAAACTCATACAGGGGAGAAACCCTGTATATGCAGTGAGTGTGGAAAATGCTTCAACCGTGAATTGAGTCTCATGGTTCATCAGCGAACTCACAGACAGTCTTCCTATGTGTGCACGGACTGTGGCACAGTGTTTATCAAGAAATCATGGCTCACTATACATCAGAAAACACATAAAGTGGAGAAATACTTTCAGTGCAGTGAATGTGGGAAAGCCTTCAACCGAAAGAAACAACTACTTTTACATAAAAGCATTCATACTGGAGAGAGGCCTTATATATGCAGTGAATGTGGAAAATGCTTCATCCGCAAGTTAAGTCTCATTGTTCATCAGCGAACTCATACTAGACAGATCACCTATGCAGGCACGGGCTGTGCCAAAGTTCTTCTTAAGAAATCATGGCTCAATACACATCAGAGAACACATAAAGCAGAGAAATCTTTTCAATGCAGTGAATGTGGGAAAGTTTTCTACCGAAAGAAACAATTAAATTTACATAAAAGAATGCATACAGTAAGCCGACCATGTGTCTGCAACATGTGTGGAAAAACTTTTGACTCCATGCTTGAACGTTTTAACCATAAGTTGATACACACACGAGAGAAATGTGTAGATTCAGGCAAGGTGAAAGACCCTTCTTCAGTGAGTAACAGCTCATCACATACCAGTGATCTTGTGCAGGACAAAAAAGCTGTTAATACAATGACTCTGCAAATGCGTTCTGTCACATCTCAGTCTTCCTTAAACACCAGTGGGCTCCTCACAAATGGAAACATAGTCCTTGTGGGACAGCCTGTTGCCAGATGTGAACCCTCGGGTGATAACAGAGAAATTACACAGGGAAGAAACCTTATTAATCCAGTGAATGTGGCAGTGCCTTCAGTCATCAATTATGTGTTATTTTATGTCCCAGAGAATGTTACTCTCCAGCTACTGTAGTCAATGGATGAATAGTCATTAAGTGAAATACACATAGAATAATTGTTATGAAGAGTTGAGCTAGATTTTTAGAAGTTACAAAGTCTTTAAAATGTTAGATAATTTCTTACTGAAAAATCTGTTGCCATTGAGTTAATTCCAATTCCTGGTGATCTCATGGTGTCAGAGCTGTGCTCCAAAGGGTTTCCAGGAGCTGCTGTTTGGAAGTAGATCAGACCTTTCTTCTGAGGCATCTATGAGTTAACTCAAACCTCCAGCCTTTTGATTAGTTGCTGAGTATTTTCACTATTTGTTCCACTCACAGACTCCTGGGGTAAGGACTCCTTTTAGTGGTACTTAAACATGCTTTCACTCACTCTCACTGCTGTTGAGTCAGATGCGACTGACTCATAGCGTTGGGTTTCCGAGGTGGTATCACTACCCAGTCTTCCTTCCAAGGAGTGGCTGGTGGGTTTGAACTGCCAGCCTTCTGGTTAGCAGTCAAATGCCTTAAGCACTATGCCCCCAGAACTCCCTTAAACATCCTAGGAAACATTTTAACGTCCATATCTTAACTCCCCAAGTAGAGTGTAAATTCTTTGATAGTTTTTGTGACGATTTAAATTTTAAAGTTAAAAATTCACTCTTTCATGGCACTAGCCATGTTTGGAGTGTTCAGTAGCCTTATGTGACTGTTTTCTACCATTTTGAGTAACACAGCAATGGCTGGAACATGTATACTGAGAAAAGTCCATAGTTTCTATCATTCCATTAAGTTATATTGGAGAGAGCTGGTTTACATCATTTTATATTTCCCAATGCACAGAAAAGTAACTGGTACATTTTTTGCATATAACACTCCCACATAAACAATGTGTACACACACATAACTTGCATAACATGTATAGGTGACTAATGTGCAAGGTTATGTGGTTTGCAAAAAATAACGTGTTACTTGCATAAAAATGCGGTAATGTATTGATTTGAAAAGTGAGTAAGTGAGCCAATAAACTAAGAGTGTTTTGTCATTGAAGTTAATTATCCCTTGGAAAGGAGTTTTCAGAATGGCATTGTTACCCAGAAGCTTTGTTACAGAGGCATGGAATAGCGATTATAAAACCCCTTTATGTACATACTAGAGTTGAAGAGGGGAGCTCTGGTAGCATAGTGGCTAAGGCACTTGACTGCTAACCAGAAGGCTGGCAGTTCAAACCCACCAGCCACTCCTCGGAAGGAAGGTTGGGCAATCCTACTTCCGTAGTGATACTGCCTCGGAAACCCAAGGAGGGGTCGCTATGAGTCGGGGCCGACTCGACGGCATATAACAACAACTACAACAGAGTTGAAGAGAGAAGTAAATCAATTTCAGATAATGGTAGCCAGTTTTCTCCTTGGAAACCCATGGAGTAGTCGCTATGAGTAGAAATCGACTCAACAACAGTGAGAGACAGAAGCTACAACTAACTTGGGGGAAGTGTACAATGTACCATATGATGCTGGATTAGAGTTGAATATAACAGTGTAAACTCATTTACTTTAGTGGGTATTAGGTAAATACAGAAATACTTGTAAATATGTACATACGTGGGTTCACAGAAAGGACTTAGATGCAGTGACCCCCCCAGTATCAGCACACCTGTCTGGATCTTGGTTTCTGACTACTACTCTGCTATAAAAGAAACCAGGACTCTTTCAAGAAATTGCTGAATTTAAGGTCAGGACAAGGAAAATACAAGATAAGCCTGGAACATCATGAAGTGACAGAAAGTAAAGAATTGCTTAAAAAACAAAGGATGGCATTTCAAAGGGACCCACGACCCAATCTGAAATAATACTAAACAGCTAAAGCTGGGACAATTTCATTAACAAAATAATACTCCATGTGTATGTGAAGGGGCAATCTGAGTACATCCTGGTTTTTCCTATGAGCTACAAATAAACCTTGTGCTTAGGACTCAAGAGTGTCAACTTGGCTTCTTTGGAGGGGATTAGAGTGTGGACTGACATCCTCCTGAACACATGTCAACCTTCCCAGAAAATTCTTAGCTAAATGTGTGTGTTAGGTGGCAACTGGACAACACTACTTCTAGATGTATCTTCCTGTTGGAGTGGGAAGGAGTTCTGTGTTCTTCAGCACAAGAAGGGTGCATGCAGACCCTTATCCCTGCACCAGCTGCTGTGGGAAAAGACCAGCTGGCCATGGTAGACTGAGGTCCATTAGTGAAGCTGACCTTGCTCTGTCTCTTCTGTGGTTGAGTAAAGCATTGTTTCATCCAGTGCCTGTGTGTGAATTATCCTTGGTAAACCTGACACCTCCAACTAGATAGTGATTTATTGCCCTCCACATGATGGGAGTTCTCCCCTGTAGGTCTAACAGCTGTCACTTGCTGGACTGTGTAAGTATCCATAGTTCGTAGTGATAAAAAAATACATATATATTGAATAATACACATAAATGGAAAAGGACAAATATTCTTTAGGGATAATTCAAAGTTAAATATGTAGATACCCCCTCCCCCAGTAGGAGACAGAATGGACTGCCCTCCTTTGAGTGTGGACTGGACTTGGTGACTAACTTTCAAAAGAATGGATCATGGAATGGTAAAAAATAATAAATTAACAATGGAGAAATCTTCCAGAACCTACCTTAACCAAGAGATCAGTGTTATTTTGATACCATGTACCTCTCTAGGACACTTCAACTCCCAGCTCTTTTCAAAATTGCATAACCCCAGTCTAATGTGGAAACATCAGACAAACAATATATTTACAAAAGATCCTACCATTACCCCTAAATCTGGAAGTCGGGAGAATAGAGAAAGGACTGAGTAACTTTCACAGACCAGAGGAAACATAGTCTTTAAATGCAGAAAGAAATACTGCTTGGCAGAAAATAAAATCTCCCTTAACCTGACACCAAATTGTATGGATCAATCCAAATCAATTTATTATCAATCCTGATTCTGTTCCACATCCAACACCAGCTGTTAGAAGGTCACTTCTCTGACCCTAACCACCCAGAGATAGACATGATCTCACAAATTAACAGGATGCAGTCCACTAGATGGCCAATTCTGCCCAAGACTTCAGACGCCACTCAGTTTGTAGCCCCCATGGCAGCATCACTCTGTTCTGCTGGCTCCTACTACTCCCTTGGGATTGATAATTCACTAGAAAGACTCAGATCTCATGGAAAGTGCTATACTTAAGATTACAGTTTTTATTAGAGCAAAAGGTATACAAATGAAGAGATGCAGAGGGCCAGGTCTGGGATGGTTCCATGCCTTAATTTCTTGGTGCTCCTGTAATGCCATTCCACATGTGGTGACTCTGATGAGCAGAAATTATTTCCACCCAGCTCAGGCTAGAAGGCCAAACTCAGTGCACCAGCTCTAAAAGAAGGCACTCTGTCCACCCTGGGCAAATCCTCATGTCCGTTTCACTCCCTACTCAGCATTTCTTGGCTCTTTGGTGATCTCCATATAACTTTCCCCTTTTGTACTTGTTTGCCTCTGCACCTAATCTGTTACTTTTAAATCTTAAAAGTGATCTGGTTTAAGAAACACTCCACTAATAAGCCTCATGAGCATAAGAAAGAAAACTCTTTCCAAATGGGATTACACTCCAGGTATACAGGAACATTGATATGTTAATGGAAAACATTATGAATGACAGTCAAACACTGTCTGATGATACAGTGCTGGAAGATGGCCCCTCACGTTGGGAGGCACTCAAAATATGACTGGGAAAAAGCTGCCTTGAGTTGATCTTAATGAGGTGGATGGAGTAATGCTTTCAGGACCATCATGTGCTGATGTGGTATGAGTGAAAATGAGAAGAAACAGCTGCAAAGGTCCATTAATAATCAGAGTGGAATGTACCATGTATGAACTCGGGATAATTAGCTGTCATTTGAACAGAACACGGGGATACTACGTGGTTCAAAATCAGAAAAGTGTCAGCGTTGTATCCTTTTCACCATACTTAGTCTGTTTGCTGAGCAAATAACCAGAGAAGCTCAAATATTTGAAGAACAACATGGCATCAAATTTGGAGGAAAACTCATTATCAGCCTGTGATATGCAGATGACACAACCTTGTTTTCTGAAAGTGAAGAGGACTTGAAGCACTTACTGATGAGCATCAGAGCCTGCTGCATTCAGTCTGGATTACACTGTATTATAAAGAAAAGAATCTTCACAACTAGGCCAGTAAGCAACATCATGATAAATACAGAAAACAATGAAGTTGCCAAGGATTTCATTTCACTTGAATCAACACTCATGCCCATGGAAGCAGCAGTCAAGAAATCAAACGACTTACTGTACTGGGCAAATCTGCAAAGATGTCAAAGTAAAGATGTCATTTCAAGGACTAAGGTTGCCTGACCCCTGAGCCATGGTGTTTTCAGTCACCTTGTATGCATGCAAAAGCTGGACAATGAATAGTGAAGACACAGAAGA